TATAATATATATAAAGTTTATAATATTTAGTTAATAAATTTTTTATTTATAAATAAAAATAAAAAAATTTTTTTTTCAAAAGTGAGTGTCCCACATTGTATATAAACCAGCTAGTTGATTATGAAACAAGAGAAATACGAAACTGGTGAATATTCAAACTCTTATAAAAAATAAGCAAAAAACACATTTTAGAATAGTATCTATCTATAACTAAGATAATTTAGGAAAATAAATTAAAACAATTTATAGAATCCTGAAAAGAAGAATGGATAAAATGAAGTCCAGAACACCCTAATATTAACTTCAACTTTGACAAATGACTGAAACTAAATGATCACAAGAAACAAATTTTAGTAGCAACAGATAATTTAGGAAAAATTGATTCTAAATAATATCAAAAGACAGCTTAAAATAGAGTACTTAGAATATACAATATCAACTCAGTTAAAAACCAAGAATCAAAACTTGCCTGATATCAAAGTTGCATAGAAGGCATAATGATAGAATAATGATATATAATTGAAACAAGTATAGAAAAAATACATAAGGTTTCTTACCTTAATGCAAAAAAATCCATTAGAAAAGCTTAATTACTAGAAATCCTAAGTTTCAAAGAAGCATTGGAAGAAATGATATATAGAAAAATATGCTATAATCAAATAATCACTCAAAATAAAAGAATACTATAGGTTGAAATAGAGAATTAGAAAATAAATATTATCAAAGATTATATTGAAGAAGATACCTATCAATTCCATATAATCGAAATACTTAAACATAATAAGGAAAAAAAAAACCAATAACTTTTTACTTTGACAAGTCCCTTATAAATTATAAAAGTACAAATATGAAAATAGGAGAAACTTGAATATAAATAGAAGAAACAGAAAAAGAAAGTAAGTTTCAAACTGAAGTAGATGATTGACTTTCATTTACTAGAGCAGAATTAGTAGCAATAATAACTATACTACTAGTAACTTCAGTAGATAATAAGTTCAAGATCTTTATAGATAGTCAAGCATATATCTTAAAATGGAAAACTATGGAAAAAGATAATTTTAGAATAACTCATAAAAGATAGTTAAAAGAGCAAAACTAATTTTTATAAATATATATATTCGATTTTATAAAGAAAATGAAGCTGGATTTCAAGCTTATTAAGATTAAGACATATTCTAATATTTAGTATAATGAAGAAGTAGATGCTCTTGTTAAAGAAGTATTAAGGTTTTTAGGGATAAAATAGAAAAACTTAGTTTATCCAAGATCATCACAAAAATTAAATAGTAAGATATAATATTAGATATCTTCATAAGACAAGTTATTAAAAAAAAACAAATAATAAAGTAACAGTCTATTAATAAACAACTCAAGACAGAATCAAAAAGAGATAAGACTAATAAATCCAAGAACAATACAAATATACATGAAACCTAGTATGGGAAAAATTTAAAAATAAATATATATGAAACACCTCCTTTAAGAGTTACAAAACAAAAGTTTTCTCATTAAATTAATCAATAATAAGCTACTAACATTAACTAATCTGGTTCCAAAAAAATTGAATCTATATAAGCAAGTGAATATATTATGTATGGTCAAAAAAAGAAAACAATAAAACACTTGCTAGAATGTTTAACTTATAAGACTTAGTGAAGTGAAGTATGATAAAAAAGAATAGAAGAAGTTATTAAAGAATTCAAAAAGCTCTCAATAAAAAGGAAAAAAGAATCTGAAAAAAAAAAGATTTAAACTTAACAATAAATAATAGAATAGAAATATGAGAAATTGATAAACAAATAGTAAAACCAATGAAAAGGATCTTAGAAATCATTTAAAATACACTTAACTTCTATATAGGATTAATAGAGAAAGATTTAATTGTAAGAATAACTGATCTGAAATGTTGTAGTAAGAGAATTGAAAAAGAGATAAGAAGATAGATAATGAAAAAATAAAAAAAAGTATATAACTTCTGAAAGAAAATATGGAATATGAGATGTGAAAAAATGATCAAGTAGAAATAAATATCAGGAATCTGCAAATATAACAAAATTAAAAAACTGGTATATCTATAGAATCAGGAAAGAAGGAGCAAGAGTACAAAAAGCTGATTTAGTAAGAAGTTAGTATATAGTATGAAAAAAAAAGAATCAAAGACAAGAAGTTGAAAGAAATTTTACTAAATAGTATAAAGTATAATATAAAATGATTAGGATTTTGATCTCTATCAGAGCTCAAAAGAGTGATCTGTAGTAATGACCTGTAGGCAATGATATTAGAAGTTGGAAGGGTTTTTACCTAAACTTCTAATGAAGCAAAAAATCACTTCTGAAGTTGTACTTAGAAATATAAAATAATCAAAACAAGTGAATTGATTAGAGAATTAGCTTTAACATTTCATTTAATATGTATAGCTTACAAATGTTTAATAAAGTACACATAACTAACCTGACAGAGGGAAAAAAAAAAATAAAAAAAAATTATTATTAAAACTTAAATTAGATTATAAATTATAAATATCAAACCAATAACTTTTTTAATTTTAAAGATGCCCGATTATATATCACGTGATTGTCGGCAGGCACGATTGAGTTTAAATATTGCTTATTATAAGGTCGTGCATATTTACTATACATAGTAAATGCCCATGGGCTTGCATCGCTCCACATTCCCTAAATCGAGGCGGAAATGGGCGGGCTAAAACGTTTTTAAAGACCATATAATTTTATTGCTTTATTTCTTTCACATCGTATTTTCGGACCTTGTAAACATGAGTGAATTATACGCGAAAATTTACTATTTTATAGTAACAACGGAAGAGGAAAATATAAACGCCTCCACTGTCATCTACCAAACGTTGAAGAACTACGGATTCCAAAGGAAGAAACAAGGGTTGGTTCACTGAGCAATTTCATCAGCGTTAAAGGTTCCACTCGAGAACAAAAACTTTTGCAAATTCCTCTGCAGGTAGGTTTTATAGTGTGATCTAATAATTGTGTTTGGCTCATTAACTGAATGATGAGTGTCGCAGATTGGTTCGACCTGAATATCAAACATATCAGTTTAGTCATTCCTATTTAGCCCGTGTACGGGATTTAATCCTGGGAACATGAGGAGGGTGGTTATACTGTATTACTATGTTCTGTTTATATGTGGTAGAAGCGGACCACACATAAGTTATTGTCAGCGTGTGGGCCCCACGAGGGCATTAGCTTTGCCTGCGACATACTGACAGCGCGCGCGTTAAATTTGAACTTTTTGTTGACGTAATACCTCTTACTAAAAACTTTATCGGACTTTATCCATATACCCCGTGTATTATTTTGAGGTGGCATATGAAGGGTCTATGGCTTATTCAACATTGGGGCACTAAAAGTAAACAAAGAAAACCATATCACTTTGGAACAAATTGACGCTAATCTTAAAGTTGTTGATGAAACTGGCAGTAAGTATTGTTAAATATTTTAACTGTCTAGGTTTTATATACTGTAATTCTTACTAATATTTCATCTAGAGAGATTCATCAGCTCTTGCACGTTCCAGTCTCGAATGGAGTGATCTACTCGCCAACCAGATAATTGATGATAGTCTCGATCTAGTGAATCATCTCTCCTCACCTAAGAAAAAAAAATTCTTGAAACCCGTACGGCGAACCATACCCTCAAATTTACCATTAGATGTGAACATTTTGGTGCGTTTACCTTGAAAAATTCATTTCCCTATACTAGTTCTAATACTGCAATTATCCGCAATTCCGATCATCAAAAGTGCGTCGATAAGTTGCTACAGTTCTATTAATCGGTTTCTTAAAAATATTATGGGAATCTATACGAGAAGCTATCCAAATTAAAGTGGGGGCGTTCGCACCTAAATCATTTGACCAGGACAAGTCGTGACATTTTCTTTCCGTTTTTTTCTCTATGGAAATTTTCCCGTAACTCGAGGGATCCGACATAGTATCGTTTATTTCGTTCATAGTATGTTCTTCCATCATCTGCGTAAATTTACTGAGATTTACAAAGATCGAAAGGATGGAATTGAGCGAGATGAGTATGGATTGATTGTTCCTATAATCCCTCAGCAAGACCTAAACGATGCTCATGAATTAAATCGCTAGGTTATACTTGACAAACTGAAAGCTAATCATATTCGAGTTCTACTATCATCCACCGATTGTAGGAGATGACATATTGGTAAATCTTTATTATAATGCCAGTCTTGTAATATATAAACGAAAAATATAACCGTTATTTTTTAGATTTGAGGTGAGCACGTCGTGGGCTAAAGGTGGAAGATCCGTTACTCGATTCTGAATAATAGAGCGAAGGATATTACAGTATAGATAGTTTTGTTATTTTGTGGCTATATATTTATGAATTAAATCTGTAGTTTTATATCGAACTATTAATTATTGATCATCACGGGTTAATAAAGATTCTCACATGTAAAAGTGATCGGCGTGACAATTTATCACGCATACATGATTTTTATTTATTCAAACTTTTGAACATACCTACATCTTGTATAAATCAATTGGAAACACACTGAATTTGGTAAAACAAGAGGATCCCAGACCTGTGGCTAGAATCGCAGAATTGGAGCGAAAGAAAAGAGCTGGAACGATTGCAAAAGAAAGCATTGAGCTTAGATCGAGTTATGAAATTGGAAAAAATGACCCACGGAGTGGGGATATTATCGTATCTGAAGAAAAATTAACTTGCTTTCATATTTCTCAAAGTGATGGTGCTCTCATATCTAAATTAGATGATACCAGGGAAACCAAACAGGTAAAAGTATTCATTCCAAAAGAACAATCTTCGGTTAATATCAGTGGTATAGTCAATGTTTCTTGTAGATCGAATACTCCAGTATCTGATATATCAAATTCCAGTATAGGTCAGAAGTTGGAGACCTATAAATCATTGGAAGATAAGGAGGTCGATAAATTTCTCGATTCAAAATATACGGTAAAGGTTAGTAGAGAGAGTATTCAAAACATTGAGAAAAAATTACGAGGTTAAGATTTGATACAAAAAATGTTATCTGAAAATCCTGCAACTGAAATTTTCCCAAATATTGTGTATTTACTCTTTTCAATAACCAGAAAGATATTCAATTTTGCTAAATTGGAACCAAAACCTATAATTCAAAAGGCTCTATAATTAAAAAGTAGAACAGGGTTTGAGGCATTAACCATCTATATGTATTAATAACAATGATGGATTTTTGTTTGATAAATCATTTGATATTCAGACTTTCCAATTCTCTTTAAAAACAATTATAACAGGATTTACTAAAGTTATATTATAAAAAAATATAGCTGATTTATTTAGAGTGGCAATATAGATTAGGCAAAAAGAAAGTTTATATTAATATTGTTATTATAAGTATATGAGAATAAAGTTATTAATATTAAGTCTATGAATAATATTGATAATCAATTTACAAGAAAAATAGTATATAATTAAATCTTTTTTAATATATTAATACAATACGTTGTAAAAGTCTTTGGATTAATATTACTTTGTAATTTTTATTTATAATTTAATAACCAATAAATAAAATGAAATGAAAATTTATATTTATATTGTTCAAAATATAGAAAATAAGATTA